AATTATTCCCGGGTAAATATGTATCTGTCAAAACCGAAGAACGCTGATGGACAGATAACAGTCATGATGCCCCTATTATTAAATATCCTAACTCAATAGGATGTAAATAAAACTAAACCTCCATGTTATGTTTTTGCCGTGGATAATTTCGTAATAATTAAGCTTCTGCTTATTGTTTTGAAACTCAGTGTTAAAGGAGAGCCTTTTGCATCGGGTTGTTGTTTTATTTAGACTAGTGTGTAACCCGTGGGCAGATGCATGTGTGTATGTGTGTGTGTGTGTGTGTGTGTGTATGTGACACGCCGCGTCCTATATACACGTTTTTATTATACATAGTATAGTGAAAAAGGTTAAATACAGAAGTAGGTGAGGCTCTGGGGAGCCGAAGCTCCCCAGAATAGAAATATTGGTCCATATCAGTAAGTCGCAGCGGAGATCAGTAATAATAGTCTGTAGAAGGGGTCGGTGAAGGAAGTCGGTAAAATGATATTGGTGGGGAGTGCTTTTATACCCCAGGGGACAAAGTTCGAAAGTTCAGTGAGGGTGGGGCGATTAAAGTTTGAACCAGGGACAGGGGTACTGCGTCACAGTAACGCAGTTGGTCTTTAATCTATTTTTTAACAAAAACCATTAATCACTATTTGATATATTACGCGATAGTTTATATTGCACAAATGCAGAAAACGTATAACCATTGGCGACTCGCACCGGACGGGCTCGTACGATCATGCGTTTTTGCAGTGTTTTGTGCTGTAACGAGATCGCTCGCAAATCCAGTAGTTGGAAATGCGTGACAAACTGGTCCTCGAATTTCGGGAAGATCATTGCCTAAGCTGCACTTGGACAAGGAAAATTCCTTAAAAATTTCAATCTCCCAGCTTTCTCAGCTCCCGAATTACCCATATTCTCGCCAGAAACTTCCATAGGGCCGCACGCGATAACTACGTTATCACTGGTGGCTGAATTTGATAGATTTAAGTTATACATGGGCCAGGAAAATTCCCTCAAAATTTCAGGCACCTAGTTTTCCCAGTTCCCGAGTCCCGTCAAAAACTTTCACGGGTTCATACGTAGTGCACGCCCGAGGGCTGAATTTGATAAATTTAAGTTGTATGTGAGCCTGGGACATACTCTGAAAGTTTCAGCCTCCGGCTTTCTTGGTTCCTCAGTTAGCCATTTTCCCGCTAAAAACTTTCACGAGACCGTACGTGAGAACCACACACGCCCGAGGGCTGGGTTTGATAACTTTAAGTTATACATGGGCTGAGAACAGCTCCTTAAAATTTCAGCCTTTCGGCTTTCCTGGATCCCAAGTTAGCGATTTCCCAGCCAAGAACCCACACGGGGCATGTGCGAGAATTGCGCACGCTTCGAGGCTGAATTTCGAGTTCCATATGGACGGGCAATGTAACCTCAAAATTTCAACTTTCTAGCTTCTCTGGTTCCCGAATTAGCAATTTCCCCGCCAAAACTTTCACGCACTCATAAGCGGAGCCTAAACATGCGTGAGGGTTGATGCCACGGTCCTGGGGTGGCAATTCGCCAGGGAACCAACTCGCGAAATTTTGGCGCCGGAATTTACTTGGATGCCGAGTTGAAATGCACACACACCGGGGCCGTCGCAGTATGCGTCTTCGCATTTACATGTATGCAA